AACCACTTAAGAAAATCCATTCACAACCTGAAACTAACTAGAGTCCTGGCAAACCTGCCGTTGGCTCTGTCTCTGTGTGTGTGTGTGTGTGTGTGAGTGTCCTGCAAAGATTTTCGAACGCTTCGTCTGAGGTTTGGCCCCTGTCGTATTTGCCGGCAAAAGAAAGCTCACCTGATGATGGTCCCAAATCAACATATGAAGCAAACAACAAAAAGGATTAAGTCCAAGACACACACATACATACACCCACACACATGAGCCTGTCCTCATGCATAGTTTTACATGTCTAAGGACAAAAAATGAATTTATTGCGCAACAAAAACAAAACTTGAGACAATTCCAAAGCCTAACCCAAGAGGCCCAGGCCAATTTAGCAGCTGAGATGGTCTGAAAGGGGTGGAGGTTTTGGGTAAAGGATTCAAATAAATTACCGCTACGGGCCATACTTATTTCATTAGGATTATTTTTGACTAACATTTACGGCCAACCCCCAAACTGACGTGCTCCACAACTTCCTTTCCTTTGCGAAGTAATTGGAGGAGAGCTGGATGGCTGGCGATTCGAGTCGAGTCAAAGGATTCCTGATTTCCGGCTATATCCGACTGGGCGGATTTCGATTGGTACGCCGGTGAGGGCGCTAAACGCGAACAGTCAGCGATAAAAGAAAGAAAATGCCTCGCGGCATTAATTATAATCCGCTTAAAAGTTTCAACATGTTTTCCCAGCCCCGAAAGCCCTATTCAAAAAACACGAATACAAATACGGCGGCACAAAAAAAGTGCAAATCTCAAAATACGCCTCTGACTCAGAGGAACGGCCACGGAGAAGAGGGCCAACTCAAATGCAAAGCGCTGATTTTTCGCATGTGCACAAGTGGAACTCGAAGTGCTGAAGAGCATTGACTTTGATTCGGAACAGAAGTATTCATGGGGGTGAAAGATCATCATAAGAGGCAGCTTAAAGACCCTCGACTTACAGCAGTAGTCCTTGAAAAGAAAACAAAATGACGGAGCTTGGAATCTCTATTGCAAGACTTCATTTCATAAAACAAACCGCTTAATTCAAATTCTTTTTGTAGGTGTAAAATAAGGTATATTAAAGTCCATTTAAAAAAAAGGGATTGAAAAAATAGTTCAATAACCAATTTAACGGGTTGTAAGCCCTTACAAATCTTCGTATGTTAAAGTTCGATTTATAAAAAACCCATCATCATAAACTAGTTAATTAATTAATTAAAATATTTAAAAACCATTAATTGCGATATCAGTTGTCTTAGTATTCCATTATATTAAAATTTTAAATTTCAAAAATTATAAAACCACTTAAATATAATCAAAAGTACTGAGTAAATAAGTATATTATGAATATAGGTGTTCAAATGTATTCTTCTTTACAAATACTCAACAATTCAATCTTATTGGCAATCCTTCTACGATACAGTGGCAAAGTATTCCATAACTAACTTCTATTAAGTAATAAGTACGCTTTGAAGTAATCTATCAACTGTATTACATTCAAAATATATTGTAAATATTTTTTTCTAATGAAATCATTTTTTGTGAAATCTATAATACCCAATCTTATTCTCTACAAATACTAAATGATCCAACCTAATTGGCAATCCAACTTCGATACCCCAGCAATCCACCACCGCTGCCCCGTGTCGTTTTTCTATAGCTAATCTTTCATTTCCTAGGTATTCATTATTCCTTTCGCAAAGGCAAAGGCAATTGTTAGGTAGCTTATATTGCTTGTGTCCTGCGGCAAGGGACCGAAAACACCCGAGGCAAGACGCAAACCGATTTTCATTTTATTGTCCTGTTTAATATGTTTGTTTTTCTTTTGAGAATGCAGCGGGGAATGCAGGGAGTGCAGGAATAGCAGGAAAAGCGGGGAAAGCGGGGAAAGCGCAGGGACTAAGGCCGGGATATGTGCAGGGAGCCAAAGGTGTGAGATGGCAGCCAAGCGTAGGGCTCAGGCGGGCGTGTATGTGTGTGCATTTTCCTTTGTGCCAGTGTGTGTGTGTGTGTGTGTGTACCTGTGTGCGTTGGGCAAAGTTCTTAAGTCGCTCCGAATGCTGCTGAAGCTGCCGAGCGCTGTCAGAGGCATTATAAATTAAAATGCACGCATTAAAAATTCTACTAAAAAAGAGTTTGCAATTAAGTAGGACTTAAGTTGAAGTGTAAATAAAAATTCACACACACACACACACACACGCAGGCGAATCCCTTAAGATGCCGGGCTAAAGGACATGGAAATTTGTTTTCTGGCGTGAAGTGAAGGAAAAACTTGTGGCAATTTCCTTAAGACTATTGCTTAATTTCCGGTCATTCTTCCTACAAACATCCACCCAACTAAACACCACCAAACCACCCAACCACCCACCACCCTGATAAACACACACACGCTGGTCTGGCACCGAGAAGCCTACTTAAGTCCCTTAAAATCCTTGAGATTTTTTGCACTGGTCAAGCAATGATAAGCAAATTTCCCAACAGTTCACTTGGCTTAAGACGAACCCTTTTCCCCCTTCCAGCATCCAGCATCCCTTTTCTTCCAGCTGCTGCTCACGTGTCCGTTCTGGTTATTAAAACTTTTGGTCTGTTGAAATTTTAATTTTCTCAAATACCCAAATCACTCAAAATCATTTTAATAAGTAAATTATGAGCATTCAGCCTATAAATAAACAATCACACAATTTATTCCATCGAAAAAGTCGAGAAAAGACTACAAATATTTGCCGGCATTTGGCCAAGAAGGATACTTGAGTAATCCCTTGCAGTCACCTAAATAGCTCTGTCCGGCAGATTTTGTGTGAGTGCTCATGTAAGGATTAAATCGTTTTGATGTCCTTGCCAGGGCAATTTATAATTATTTGTTTGCCTCGGCCTGTGGTCAGCCAATTGGTCAATTTCTTAGAAGAAAGTCGAGTGGATAAAACTTTCTTTCCATTTTGGCCCAGCATACAAACCCAAACCCAGATATTTTATGCACACATGAGATGTTTCTGGAAACTTTTCAAAAGATTATAAGTCCTCGGGGGGGGGGGGGGGAGTAGAGACCCCAAAAAACCAGGGGGAAAACTGCTCCCGGCATTTACCTTCGCTGCCATTTTCCTTGAGCTGGGAATTTTCCAATTTCGCTTGATTGCGATGACTGAACTTGATTATTTCTGCTGCCATCGATGCAGGTTAATAAATCTAAAGCCGCGTGGCGGTTCGCTGTGAATTCGCCAGGGGCAGGGGATGGATACCGTCTTAGCCTCTGAAAAGTAGAGTTCATTTACAAATCGTTTGTCGGCTTACCGAGGGGAACTGGGGGAGAAGTCGCCGGAGTCGTCTGTCTGCCGCGCCAAGATTTAATGCCCTCAAACAGTTTTCCTCCCGCGCGCTTAATTCAATTTGTTTTGGCCCGCTTCGACTGTCTCGATTACTTACAATTTTTTCCGTTTTATTTTTTTTTTTTTGCCCTGCTGCCAGTGCCACTGATAATGCTAATAAGGATAAGCTCTGTCTGCCATCGTTGGTCCGGGTGACTTAAAGCTGCTGATTCCGGGCCGAGGTTGTGGTTGCTGAAATGCCCGTTGTGATGCAACAATTAGTGGGTGCTCCGTGGCACTGGGCTGCACACTAAAACCACCGCACACTAAACGCAACTCGCACACACACACACACATATGCATATGCAGGTGGACGAAATCCGCTTTTGTTTTAGCCCCATCGAATCATGGCTCCATGGATAATGGATATATTGAGTTTATAATACGGTTGCCCGGACCGCACAACGAGTTTTCATCCGGGGAATCGGACCGCTGCGCTAATGACCAATTTTTGGGCGCGGGAACTGGTCGGGATGAGGTCCAAAAAACAATGCGTTTTGTGTGTGGATAATAGGGCGAACACCAACCAAATGTTGTGCGAAATTCGTCATTTCATGTAAATATTTTGGGGAAATTTGGCATGTATTGAATTTAATGGGATTATTTTCATAACTTCCCCATCACTTAAAGTTCTATAGTGCTTTACGGCCTGATCTGCGCCGGTGACAAACAATGCATTATAGTTGAATTCTTTATTCCTTTTCAACTCGACCCAGAGCATACACCCACACGAGGCTGATGTATTTATTTTTAATGCCAATGGCCCCCAATGAGGTTTTCATGGCAATTAAAAGATTTGCATGGCACACACACACACACACACCTCCCACAAAAATATGGCATGAAAATCGCACGTAATTGGGCTGAACTTTTGGTTGGTCCGATTTTCCGCATAGCGTCCCCGACCGCGGTTCTTTAAAACGCTTCCAGCTTTCAGCTGCCCGAACCCAAACCCACCCGGCAAATGCCAATCGTTCGCCAATCTCTGGCTGCTTACAATTTTTATAATTGGAATAATTAATAATACCATTATGTCGGCCGGACCTGGGGCGTTAAGCCTATTTACTGTGTGCCCCTCCACCCCTTGTAGCCCCCCAAATTGAGGGCGAGACACGCCCCCTGCGGCCATGGACAAATGTCTATAACTTCTATTTCCTGAATTTTGCCATTTTAATTTAAGCCTTTGATAATTGGTCAGCAGGAAAAGAATGTAAGTTTTAGGAAAAATGAAAAACATAATTCGCTTCGATTTTAAAAATTTGTGTTTTCAAATTTCAGAATTCTCTCTGCCAGTTTTCGGGTGGGTTTTAGTTATGCTCCATCCCCCGAAATTGCCTGCCATTTTAGCGGCTAAAACCATTTGCGGCTAACCGCAACATGCAATAATTTATTTTAATACTTTAGTGCGTGTGGAGGTGTGGCGCAAATCTGTATAAAATTCATCATTTAGAATATGTTTTAATTGCCTTTTTTAATTTGTCGATGATTTGCACTTGGAACTAGACTGAACTAAACCGATTATTAAACAGCTCTCGAGTGTTTGGCCGCGTTCAGTTATTATTGTTATTAGTTCTAACCAGCGTTTACCGCTTTTCTCCCTCTCTCTCTCTCTCTCTTGCAGCCAAATCACTTCCACTTCACTGTGTGGTGGAGTCGGTGCACTCGCTGCACGCCTCCCTCACCATCGACAGTCGGCAGCCCTGGAAGCGGAGGCCCAACATCGAGACGGACAGCTACGTGATCATCGCCGCGGCCACGCCCTGGAGCGAGATTGTCCAGACGGCCCTCCAGAGATTGGGCTACTCGCAGGAGGTGGCCAACACGGCCAGAGGTAACTTATTTATCTTTTAACAAAATATCAGTTAGAAATCTCGGTACATTTGTTATTAGGCGGGGTGAGACCCTACTAAACCTATAACCCACAGAATTATCAATAACTTTAATAGTAAGTTCTTACTAAATGAGGAGAAGGTCATTTTCTTCTTTGTACAATAATTTTATTTCTAAGTTTTTGGTTTTTCAAGGCAAAAGACAGAAATTCAAAACGTTTGTTTATAAAGAACTACAGAGATTTTCATTATTAGCGTCACAAATTAAAATATTGCCTACAAAACGTTTTAAAATAAGCCAAATCTAAATACTCTTGCATACAAAATGATGAAAATGAGCCAGATTGGTAATAAAGTTAAATAAAAGTTCCAAGAAAAAGTTTGAAAATAAAAGTCTTGGGTTCTGGCATATGTATACAAAATTTTAGTGTTATTTTTATACGTTTAAAAAATATTTAAATTTATTTATAAAAAAAAACATTACAATTTTAATGTCTTCGCTAACCAAAAGAAGCCATTTTGGAAAGATTAGTTGAAGCAGTGCTGCCTTAAACTAGCCAAAAAACATTTATATAATTTAACAAAATTAGTGCAATAGATAATTTTACATATTTTAATACTTTTAAGCATAAAATATTTCCCAAACAAAAACTAACTCTGAGGGCTTTGTCTTTCCGCAGGCTCTTTAATTATCAAACACTGGAAGCCCATACCCCTAGAGCAGATATCGGACAACCCAGCGGTGCCGGTCAGCGATATTGTGGGCGAACTGACCTCGGTGATCACCCTGAGGATCGTGATCTTGCGACCCAAGACATCGCCCTTCGGCGAGATCAAGGACAAACTGCTCAAATTGCTGGTCCTGCAGTCGCATGCGGTACTCCGCTCCACAGGATGTCCGCTGGATGAGGTGAGTTTCCGTTCCCATTCTTGTTCCCCCCAAGCCTTCGGCAGCCAATTAGACATTCACTTTGAACTTTCACTTAAAATTCAGCACTAAGACGACAAAATTCTATAATGATTCATAAGCGGTTTATGGAGAACTTCCCCCTATCCGCACTACGAAGCGCTCTTATCCGTCTTGGAGTTGCTAAAACTTGCCGAAAAATGTCTCCGGATGAGAAGTGGCGACGCTAATTTGCGTGTTGTGAGGCATGAACACAGAGAACACACAGCTACACACGCAGACACACACACAAACACACACAGAACTTTTGCATGTCCTGTCTGCTTGTGGAATATTAAACGCATTGAAAATGTTTTGATAGCTACTACAAAGAAATTTTGTTAAGCCGAGTTCATTTATTTGGTTCACTTAACTAATCCTTTTTTGCAATAGTTTTCATTTTAATCAGCTTTGCGTTGCCAGCAGTCTCCAGGATGTGTGTGTGTGTGTGTGGCTTTTGTTTTCCTTATTGAAATCGGTTTAGAAGGCTTAGTTGCAGGAATCTGCAGGAGGGGAAGCCACTGCACGACTCACATGACCCAATTCCGTGGGCGGAGGGCGATATCGGTGCATTAACGCCATAAATCAAGCGCTCGTACACTATCGCCAACGATGAACAACACGAAATCACGGCCAGAAATACCCTTCAATTGTTATTGTGACTGCTATTTTATTGGCTCCACCCACCACCCCCGCCCCCTGTGCTCCTCTCCCGATTAATATTATTAGCAAAGCAAAGTAAGGCAAAGCAAAGCAAAGCAAAGCACGGCAGTTGTCGTCTGTCCTAATCACATGATAAGCATTTACCATAATTTCCACATTTGTTGTCTGACAACGACACCTCCAGCCCATCGCGGTTCTCCAGTGTCCGCCGAGGAGCTTTGGGGTGCGGCGATAGGAAAATCAATTTAATAATACCCCGCCACGTAAGAAGCGTCAACCCATTTTATTTACAATTAGGTGTCCACAACACCCACAGCCCCTCTGCCCCCACCATCCCTCTGCCCCACCACCTAACCCTTCGGTTTCCCCGCTTGTTTTGAGCAGCTTAAGTGATTTGGGGCGCCTCCTTAGCTGATAGCACTGTGTTGGAAAAGCAAAAAAAAAAAAAAAACCAGAGAAGGCTAGAAGGCACCTCGGAATCACCGAAACACCCAGACATTATCTTTCCGCAGTTGGGAGACAAAGCAGTATCTATGAGCATTTAATACGCCATACCATTCAGCACCACCCTGCGGCCAACTCATCGCATTTCGATTCTATTTCTGTTGGGTAAATTCAATTTTAATCGCCATAAGCTGATGTGTCGCTGCCTATCAGGGACTATCTAGTTATCGCCTTCGATTCGAGGCACTGCGGCACTGTCTGTTAATATCAGCTCGGCGGTATCAGGGCCCTGGGTCTATATCGTAATAAGCAATTTCGGACTCGCACTCAGTCGCACTCGCACATTTATGGCTAAGTAAATCCCGGCACTTGAGGCCCCCGGATCGTCCCGTCCGCCAGCCGGCGACTGTGATTTTTATGACAGCCGCTTAGTGACCGGCGGACTCCGGGGACTTAGTGCAGCTCCTGTTGACAGTCGCTCAGTGCAAACCGCTGGCCAAGGTTGCCCCCACTAATCCCGAGCATTTGGCTCTGATTTCCACACGGAACTCGGTTTTTCGAATTGTCCGATGATCGAATCGTTGGTTTTCATATAACCATTATGTGACTACCTCGCGTGGCAACACATGCAATGGGTAATCTACATTAAACAGTCACACAATTGCGGAATTGGGGAACCCAAAATGTTTCCATTAATTTCGATGTGTATGACACATGCTTTTGCAGAATAAAATGGCAGATTATGAATAACATTGCTGAATCAAAAGTAGGTAATCCATTCGAAGCTTTTTAGAATAATAATTTAAAAATAAAATTTAAAACAAATTTAGATCTCTTAATATTTTTATTAGTATCCTTGATATGGGTAGTCTGAATAATAATAATAGAATAATTAGAGAATTTGGATTCTAAAAAGTTTCCATTAATTTCGATGTGCATGATACATGCATTTACATATTAAAATCAATGTTTATGAATCTGAGAATATATCAATTATTTGGCACTCTTCTGGACTTTTGTTAGTGAAATTAAAGTTTAAAACTTGTCTCAATATCAGTATTATTTATAGTTAATCTAAATAAAACAATCACATATTTGAGGAATCCGGAAAAGCTAAATTATCGCTATATGTGACACACTTTTTTCCATTAAAATCTGATTAATGATTCTTTTTCATTTGAATTAATAATTCATTATATTTATTGTATTTAAATGAAAAATAAGCATTAATTTAATTTTACAAGAAATCTGTTTTGCTAAAGCTATATATTTTAGTAGCAGTGTTGCTTGGATTAATAAATCTAAATTATATATTCAGACTATTGGATTGGGATCAGAATATTGGGATGATTTCATTCACGGACCTTTATTTGGCAAAAATCGAGATAGTTAAATGACATTAGACATTTATTTTTCCAAGATACTTTTCCTTATATCTTTGCGGATTAAACAATTTCAAGAATGTTCATTGCAATTTCTCTTTTTAATCCTTAATACTTAATAAAAAACCATGCTTATTTTGTTTTTTCCAGGTGACGCTGTCACAGATCTGCCGGAGTTCCCACCAGAACACGTATGCTTTGCCCGGAGGTGAGATCTCCGACGAGCTGCGCCGCAAGTTCGACCAGTGGTGGTCCAACCAGCTCTCTCCGCAGGCGGCGGCCATGGCGCCCAAGATGCTGCCGTTCATGACGGGTCCGTCGGCGGTGCCCGTTCCGGTGGCAGTGCCCGGCGAGATGGACTTTCCGGTGGGCACGGCCATGGCGGCGGCGGCCGCTGCTGCGGCTCATGCAGCCGCTGCTGGCGGGGCGGCCGGCGGCAATCCGCTGGGATCAATGGGCAGTCGGGAGAGCCTTTTGCTGGCCAACGAGGTGGCTCATCATGCGGGCGCTGGGCAGGCGCCGGGGGCGGGACACCATGCCAACATGCTGGTGCATCCCATGCACGCGTCCATGCACCACCATCACCACCATGGCGGTGGCGGTGGCCATGGACCGCCATATCCCAACCAGAAGACTCGCATGCGCACCAGCTTCGATCCCGAAATGGAGCTGCCCAAGCTGCAGAAGTGGTTTGCCGACAATCCGCATCCGTCGCGCCAGCAGATCCAGACGTATGTGGTGCAGCTGAATGCTTTGGAGTCGCGCAGGGGCCGCAAGCCGCTGGACGTGAACAACGTGGTCTATTGGTTCAAGAACGCTCGGGCGGCCCAGAAGCGGGCCGAGATGCGGGGCGGCAGCTTGGGCAGTGCGATGAGTGCTTTGGGCCATGCGGCCATGAATGGCTACCTCAGCCAGCATGCCCCCTTGGGTCAGAACTCCAGCAGCAGTGCCGGCAGCCAGCCCATGAGCATGGGCAACCTGTCCATGTCGCACGACTATCTGAAGAGTCCGCTCAGCCTGAAGTCGGAGGACATCGACACCATGTCGCAACACTCCGATGACATGGACGAGGAGCAGAGCCGGCCGAACACGCCGCAGCTGCCGCTTTCGTTGACCACCCACGAACGGCACCGCACGTCCCCGCTGATGGACGACGACGAGGAGGAGGCGGGGGACCAGCAACAGCAGCAGCAGCATCAGCAGCAGCAGCAGCAACAGCAGCAGCATCAGCAGGAGGCCAAAAGCGACGGCATGAATGGCAGCTTGAATGAGGAGGAGCGCCATGAAAAGTCACGGGATGAGCTGCAGGACAACGAAAAGGAGAATTCCGGGGCGGAGGATCGCCACCAGGACAGCGATCCCCAGATGGAGGGCAGCTCCAGCCTCAACAACAACAACAACCACAACAACAGCGGCTCGCACAATGACCCCGAGGTGAGCTCTACGCCCAAACGCTCCACGCCCAAGGAGGAGGACGACGACCTGGACATGGACGAGGACGAGGAGGACAACGAGAACGATGCCAGCCACCTGGACGAGTTCCGATCGCCATCGCCGGACCTCGCGGGCGGCGTTGTGCCGCACAAGGACCAGCTGCCCTTTCCCATGGTCCCCAACTCGATGTTCTCGCAGTCCTTCATGTACATGAGCCACTACATCCCGGCCTTTGGCCAAGCGACCGCCGGACATCCGCACCACCATGCGGCGGCTGCTGCCGCTGCAGCCGGAATCCAGCCAAACGCCCTCATGGGCGGCGGCGGTCTCAACCTGTCGAGCATCTCGAACGAGGAGCGCCGCAAGCGGAACCGCACCTTCATCGATCCGGTCACCGAGGTGCCCAAGCTGGAGCAGTGGTTCGCCATGAACACACATCCCTCGCACAACCTCATCCTCAAGTACACCGAGGACCTGAACACCATGCCATATAGGTGAGTTATTGTCTTTTTGCTTGCTATAAAATAAGGTAGTTTATCAGTATCCCGAAATCAAAAATCATACAAATCATACGAAGCTGGAACCAAGCACTAAAATAAAACCAATCAACTTTGAACAATAAGGGTTAAAAATGGTATTAGTAATAGCTCTCGAAACTAGTTTTCACATACTAGAATTAATAATTTAAATGTTTGAATGTAACATGGTCTTTCAAAGTAAACACTTTCTTAACATAAACTAAAAACATTGTAATGTAATTATTAACATATTTATTGGTTTATCCAATAAAAAAATTAAGATTTAATTTTTTTAATTTTAAATCAAAAGTTTTACATATTTGATTTCAATAAAACAGTCCTTGAGGCTTCATTAGTACCGAAAATATTTATTTCAAAATGAAAAATTTGGGTTTTGCCTTGTATTTCCTCTGGGTGTAATATAAGCTTTTAAAGGGTTTTCTTTTTTAATAAGTTTATTGTTCTATTTTCAATCCTTGAACGATCAAGTTGTGAACTGATGTTAGACTTTAGCTTTTTGGGCTGTTGAAATTCAACAAAGTGTATTTCTAAAATTTGAAATCTATGATAAACTTAATTGTTCAATTTTAATGATTTGAGGTCCATACAAATAAGTGATAAATACGTTTTTATCCATAAACTTTCTGCTATGTATTTTTAATGCTCAATTTGAAAAGTCGCGGTGTAAAATCATTTACATAAGAAAGTATAATAATTTTGATTATATTTCCTTCAGTATGTAATGTAATTATGATGTATGTAATTAGCATTGACTAACCTTCTTTTCTTTTTTTCTTCTCTTATTGCAGGCAAAAGTTCCCGCGTCTGGAGAGTAAGAATGTGCAGTTCTGGTTCAAGAATCGACGGGCCAAGTGCAAGCGACTCAAGATGTCGCTGTACGACAGCAATCAGTGCGCCCAGTTGGGCGGACTCGGCTCGTTTGTGCCCAAGTACGAGGAGCGGGACTAGGCAGCAGGCAACTGAGCAGCCGGAAAGCGGAGTTTGAAATCAAAATTAGCAGCATTTCTTCTTGTAAATAGTTGAACGAGAGACACACACACATCCACACACAACCCAATTTAAGCAGCTGAAATCTGTGGCTGCAGCTATGACAAATACTATAACAGATACGATAGCTCATAAATATGTAATCCCCTAGTTTAGTCAACTCTAAGTATTATAGAACGAGAGAACTAACCCAGTTACGCGTTATCAGTTGCCCAGGAGCATCTAGCGAAAATTAGAGCAAATAGATAAAGCCACCTTACGAGTAATACGATCTTGCATGAACCAGTATGACTAATTTATAGCTCCAGAGAGCCCTAACCCTACCCAGTATACAACTCTCTGCATCTATGTATGTATTTCCACCTAGTTCTTAGCCATTGACATAGAAGAAGGGCGGCACAATTTTAGTGGCCAGCTCATTAAGAATAAGCAAACCAAAGAAAGCCAATTTTCGAACTGCAAACTGCGATCTGTATATAATGTATGTTATCCTAGGTACGCATTCTTTGAGCATTGTGAATTTTGTTTCGGCTTTAGTTGCATTTGTATCCGCAGTATGATAAGTTACCGTTTAAGTTTGAGTTCAACCAGTACGTTTAGTTATCCTGCCTTATTTGAGAAGCCCCTCCCTTCCCAAGCCTAGCACATATCCCTTTCGATCCATGCACACGGATATCGCATATAGAATGTATAACATACGATTCGTTGCTTTCGAAGTCTTGGTATCTAATACCAACCCCCAAAAATTCCAGCGACCCAATCAGCTTCGCTTCGGATGAAACCTTTCGTTGCTATCCACTCCATTTCGAGCGTTTCGAAAGAAACACATACACATAACTAAATCTACACACTGAAATAAAAATGTTTTATAAATTGTTCCATTAGTTTCGTAAGCCTTCAGATAGATAATAAACTTAATTCAAATAATATTGTAATTTATTGCAAGCATCAATACACCGACACACAGACACACAACATAGACAGAGCAACAGAAAAACAGAGAAAAACATCTACACATCTTTATATATAATATAAATAGACATATATTCCCCTGCAATTATTAAATGATTAAATAAATACAATTTTAAATGTCAAATTCAAATGATGAGTTTTTATGGCGACAAATGGCAGTGGGATGAGCTGTGATAAATATATAATTCATTTAAAGAGGTTTAAGTGACTGTGACAGATTGCAGCTAAATTGAAAATGATAAGAATAAATTTATATTCAATCAAGTGGAACTGCTTGAGAGTGTTATTGCCATCAAAGAGATAAGCTTTTTAAGAGTTAAATGAATTAAATGTTTAAGAAATGGGTTTTGCAATGGTGCTTTTGTGGTTAATATTAAAAATGGAAGGTTGTATGATTTAAATGTTCCTTTTCAGAGGAACATAATTAGGGAGTTCATAAATTTTAAATGAAATGCACTGCACTTGGGTCAGGCTGAAAGGATGGGGTTGGTGATATCCTTCTCTCTCTTTTTCCTTTTAGACGCCTGAAGCTAATGTGCTGCTGCAGTCGTAATGTGTTTGGCAATTTCTCATATGTGCCAGATCTTTGCTTTATTTCCTTTGCTTTTTTATACTTTTTTTTGGTAAGTCACTGATAAGCAAAGGGGAAATAAATATGCATATGTACGAAATACGAAGGAAAAATGGCAATTTGAGCAGCACATTTAGCTTCTTCTCGGCGTGAGTTGTGGCACGGGGCGTATGAGTTATCTACCGCTCGCTCTCCCATTCTTTGGCCGCAGATATGAAACAATTTATTAGCGCCAAAGTTTACTTATTTCCATTTCTTTATTTCGCTCGCCTTTGTTACATCCCGCAGACATTCCTAGATAGCGATGGCTGTGGTTCGGGGGTTGGGGGTTGGGTGCTGCGCGGTTACTAAATCAGCAGTCAACATTATTTCTTATTTCTTATTCTAAGTACACGTGTGGGTGTGTGTGGAGGGGATGTGCATCATTTGTTATCGCAAACTTTTAAATTAAAATTGTATGGAAGGAGTGAGCCCGCTAGAGTACAAATTTATGGCATATCTTTGGGCGGCAGCATATTGGACTAGCTGCTTATTTATGGATTTCGTAATAAAGTGCGAATCTGTTGCATACTTCTGGGCTGAAGAGAACTTACGATATTTTCTCATGCATTTAAAATAATAAAAAAAACTACACCACAAAGTAAATCATTTCGGCAATTTCCAGCTCCAGAATTTGCCCTTCTCGGAAGCATAAATATTTACTCAAAATATGTAATTCCTTTCTAACTGAGAAAACCCTCGGTGGGATGTACGAAAATTCCGCATAACTTTATCCATTAATTAAAATTGCCAGCACTTTCCAGCGCTCTGTGTGGTTGGCTCACGAATGAAATTACAGCCACGCCCACTCTGCAGGTCAAAGCAGTGGGCGGTGGGGCGGGAGTAGCTTGGCTTTCGAGGGGCATTAAATGTAAATATACATAAACAGGAGGCGAGCGGAAAAGAAAACATTTACATAGTTAACTACGCCGCACTTGCGGCTGCTGGCCAACTTTCGAGATGGCTCAAAGGTGGGTCCTCGGCGGAATGGCAGCATAAATCTTGCTTTTGAAAACTTTTTCATATGGCCTTAATGACGCCAAATGGCGAATAAATCTGAATAATGCAATCATAATTAAGTGGTGCCCGAACCAGTGAAAATATATTGATATATCTATCGAATTCAGCTGAAGAGATCACTGCGCCACTAGCTCTAGAAACCAAATAACCATTAGCCTTCAAAGACAAATTTCTTGGCGGCAATTAGAGCGACCGAAACAAAAAGGACTCTTGCAATGCCAAAAAGGACAAAAGCGGCGTGAGGAGGGTAAATACTGCAGAAGGGTGGGACATAAATAGTTTTGCGGCTTTGACTGATATGCGGGGCAATAAAACTAATGAGCGTGCGAGCCAAAATAGTTGACAGTGCGGTGCGGTGGTTGGTTCGCCGGTGGCTTGTCCTAACCACCTAGAACCCATACCCACACCCACCACCCCCGCAGTTGGCGGTGGCGATTCATTTGCCAAATTGAGTGCGCAAACAAACCGTAACGAAAGTCAAATGAATACAGCGCAAGTCCAATTAAATGGTCATAAGTAATAATAATTCCGCTTTGATTTGTGACATTCACTTTACACGACCGTCGAGGGTAAGAAACTCTGAGAAAATAGGGAAAGAAAGAACAGGGCAGCTCTCCATTCCGCCAGACATCTTCATCTTGGACAAATTAGTTAATGAGGACCTTTAGGAAATAAAAACAAAAATAGGCCAATGATTGGAATGAGTAATGAATTGTCCAGTTTTATTAGGAAGCTTATAAAGACGTTTTTGGATTAAAGACAATCAGTATTTTGCCGTACTTACATATATCATTGAAAGCACTTAAAGCCAACGTCAAAGAGTGAACCAAAATTGTTTCTGTTTTTCTTTTTAATTTTAATAATTTATATATATATTATGTTATATATATTAATATTAAGAGTCGTAGGTAACATTTCGTAGCACTGGAAATGTCTTACGCTGAATGCCTATTAAATGTTATATGGATTATTAAATCTAATGTTATAAAACAAAAATAAAACAAACTTAGATAAAAAGTATTTCATTAAACATTTGTTATATATAATTTACAGGACTTATAAACTTATTTAAGAAACACTCAAAAGGATACCGCCTATACTTTAATTAAGGTCATCAAATCATAATAATTTCGCTTGGGCCAGAAGTGTGTCGCGATGACTTAGAAAATTGGCTTTCGAAAGAGGCTATCTGGATACCCACCAAGGACCGGGTCAGAAGCAAAACGACCACTGTCGTATCTAGATTTTGCCTAAGAACATGACAGGGGGGCTTAAGGGGACACGTACGATGGGGTAAATTGGGGAGTGAGCGGCAGGACATAGTAGCTCACGACACCCTCACATTCCGCCCATCCTGCGCCTGCATTGGGCGGTTATTATTTATTATCTTAATTGCGTCTTAAAATCCCCCGTGAAGCGGGACAAGCACCTGCCTAGGAGAACAGGATGCGAGGGCAGACAGCCCCTGCCATCCGGAATCCTCTGTCCTGGCTCATGTGCTCTTCCGGACCTGCAGGGAAAGTATTTGCGCGGAAAATTGAGCTTCCTTCGTTGGTGAGTGTGTGTGTGGGTGTGGGGGCACAACGCACATGCTACCACTCTAAGCCTTCCCTTGTCTTGTCTTGTCTTTTTGGCACCTTATCCTTTTGGCTGCATCCCTGCCAGCCCATCCATCCCTTCCCGCTGTCAACTGTCGTTTGTCTTGGGCGCGTAATAAAAAGACTTAACAACGCGAGTTGTTTAATTATTATTTATGACACTCCTCTGGCTCCGGTTCGCCAGATTATTGCCCCAAAAAATTGTTGCTCTAGGAGCAAGTGGGTGGTGTGGTGGAAGATGCACAAGCTGGATTGTCGGCTGCGTGATTTACCGTCCTGCCTGTTAGGACTATTTAAATCAATTGCGGATTCATATTCATGCGCTGCCGTTCACCGCCTTAGCTTTCCCAGAGAGCCAAGCCCGAGCTCAATCCCAATTCATTTTCATAAAATCCAAAACTTTTACTCGGCCATAATTTACGATGATAATTATGGCAACTGTGAATTACCCCCCAGGGAGGCTAAGCCAAGGCCGACTGTTGGCCCACATCCCACCCACAGCTCACGTACACCACCCCCGCCCCCCGCCCATTGGGCAGGCAGAAAAATGTAAAAATGATAATCCCATTGTCAGGCGATAATTCAAAGGTTTCCATTCATTTATGCCACTGGGCAACGTCCAACGATCAACAACTAAAAGGTGGAAAATATTCTAATATTTATTTTCAGGGTTTTGTGTTTAATCTTCTTGAAGAGAAAGGACTGTATGGACGTTTTTTGGGCGACTTTTCAAATAATTTACAATCTTTCAACGAAGAAATGGAAATTAATAAATTAAAGAATGTATAAATGCTTCTTAAGTTTCACAAACGCCCTTACTTAATTCTACATTTTATTCATTTCATATTCACCTATTTAAACTTATAAATATGTAAATATTTTTTAAGCTTGTTTATATTTAAAATAAACTAATAGGAGTTTAAAGGACTAAAGGATAAAAGGGGACTATCATAATTTTAACAAGTTTAGTACATAATAATTACGTTGTAAAGAAAAAAAATGAAGACAAATTAAAAACCAAAAAATGTTTCAATGCCCGTTATTTCAACCGTTATTTTGAAACTGAAATTTTTCAAATTCAAGAAAAAAAGAATTTATATTAAGTTTCTAATTTAAAAAGTTAAAAAATAAATTCATGATAAAGAAATATTTAATTATTTTTAACAAAAAGGTTTTACTACAAAATGAATACAATTGTAAATTAATAAAATGGTGTCAAATAACTACTATAATTATTTTGGGTATATGATGTAAACTTAAATTAATTAGTACTTAAATGGATTGTCATTGACTTATTTACATACAAAAATAAACTAAGTGAACATGTTAAAGGTTTTTCATGTTTTGCGCATGCATGGCTCTTTATTTTCCTTACGGCAACTGCGAGAGTGACTCAGAGTGAGGCTGAAGACTAAGCCCTGTGAATGAATTATGCTTTTAATTGGAAACGCTTGGCGCCAAACGCTTTCTGCTGATGCCGAGATGGCGTTGCCAAAAAAGATTTGCTCATTAAACCGCCGAAGGACTTTCTGGCCCACTCCCACTCCCCCTCCCACACCCAATTACACTCCCCAACCCCTCGACTTTCTTTTTCGCCATGGCCAAAGCAATGTCTGCTGGCTGGTGGTGCGCCGCAGGTATAAATTTCATAAAACTAATACGAATTGATTTATGGCATTCTTTGCTGGCCTGGCCTGGCGAAAGGCTTGGGCTCTTCTTGGCTTGTTCCTGGTTTTTTGTGCCCCCTTCTCCCTCCCCCCGCAGATGGCATTCCGGCCTGGCTTTTTAAATCTCGCCCAACCCCCGAGGTGGCAGGAGTTGCTATCAGTAGCTGGCATTTGCTCTAGACTTGGTCTTTGTCTAAATCTTTGCCTGCTGTCAGGAGAAGAAAGTTTTCGGCGT